ACGTTTTTCTGTTTGGAATGATTTTGTGACCCAATGTGTGTGTGCGGCTCGCTGTTTGGACGGTACTCGACACAGTTTTGATCCACGGGACCTCTGGGGGCTATGCGAATGTTTTGGGTATGCATGGTGGACATGACAATGAGCGAGAATGTTCTTGTCTCGCCCATGTACCTCTCACTCGTTACGCTCGTTAATTTCGATGAGGAACTTGATTCGCGCTTGCTTCCTCTTGGTTCTGTGCAAGGCGCTCTCGGCAAGTTGCAGACTCGGCAAACTGCATAGGGAGGTGTGTTAAGGTTGTGTGTTGCGTTCGAAGCCTGCTCGAGTGTAGTCTGGGCCAATGGTGATATTACCGTCTCCAGAGTGGTCAACAACATAGATCAGATGCCCCCGCCCCACCGCCCCCTCGAGTTGGCTCGGTGTTGCATACTGGTAATATAGTGTGGTCATGTCTTGCTCTTTGTAGGTTCATGAATCATCCGTGCTTGTTTTTGGAGTGCTTGCGTAAGGTGCTGTACGACCTTCGGCAAAGTTGTTTGTTTGTGCAGAACTATCCCTCCATGTGTGCGCTGTTTGTTTCCGTCCCATATTTTCTGGGCGCCAGTTTTGGGTGTTTGTTTCCGTCCCATATTTTCTGGCCGCCAGGGTTCGGTACATGTATGTATGTATGTTCGTGACGCACCCGCCGGGGTCACACGGACAGGAGAAACGTAAAACTCTGTTTTTTTGTTTGTTTTTTTCCCTCTCCACCTTCTTCCCCTGCGGTGCTTGCCTTCAATTTCCCGCGGGGGTTTCTTTGTCGAGCGAAGGTTTCCTAGAGAATTGGCGCAGCGGGCAATGTTTTTTTGTTCGTGGACTTGGTGAGGAGGAGGGAGCCGTTTCGTGCGGTGATTGCCTTCAATTTCTTGCGGGCGTTTCTTTGTCGTGCAGGGGGTTTCCTAGATAAATTGGCGCCTGCAGCAGGTGATTGATGTCGTTTTTTTTCGATATGGACTTCGTGAGGTGGGAGCCGTTTCGGTCATCCCACGATACGGCCGTCCGTGTTTGTTTTTTTTACGGATTGTATACCCTATTTTTGTACAACGCCTGTCTGATAGTCTGGGGGCGCTCAGTCATCGCTTGCTGTTTCCCCTGTCGTCTCCTAGCGGCGACAGGTGCCTTGTGTTGGTAGACATGTTCGTTTTTGGTTGGGATTGTTGCGGATCATTGCGAGAAAAAAGGGTGTTGTTGTTGTTATTGTTGTTATGGATTGGTTGGTGCGTACAGCACTAAGTAGTTGTGTGTGTGTTCTTTTTCGACAGGACGTACGTGTGTTCGATTCTTGAGTGATTGTACTGTACATGTCTTCGACGCTGTAGCCTAGGACGGTTCTTCATTGTATGTGACTCTCTGTGTAAGCTGTATGTAACCACACACACGAGGGTGTGTTGCTCATCCTGCTAGGACTGGTTTTTTATTTGTCAACTACTATCACGTGATAGTGTCCGGGCCTTCCTCACGAGACGGCCCCCGCTCATTTTACGCAGAAGAACAGTTTTTAATTTGTCAACTAGTCTACCACGTGATAGTGTCCGGCCTTCCTCACGAGACGGCCCCCGCTCTTTTTATGCAGAAAAGTGCAACAAGCCTTATCTCTTCCGCGTTTCTTTCGTAGTACCCCTTTTTGGGGTGGTTGACTTGTGACCACGGAAGGCGTCCCCGTTAGTTGGACCAGTACGGACATAAGAAGGTATTGAGCGGAGACCGGAACCGTTTTTAATGTGAAGACAACAACAACAGCGACAACAACAGCAGTAGTAGCAGTACTGCAGGGGTGGGGAAAAACCGTTGGGAATGATGACTGCTGTGGTCGGTTGTGGTGATTGGTGGTGGTAGCGGCGGTGCTTGTTGTGGAGTTCGTGGGAAGGGCGGCGGTTTTCCTCAGAGGTACAGGAGGAGCTTGTGGGAGATTTTGCGGCCATGGTGTTCGTTTGCGGCCATGGTGCATCTTTTGTTGGTTGTTCTCGACTACTA